TTGAAGTGGTAATTGAATTTGGTGAACCCTCTGTGGTCCAGACAGCATAGCACTGCAGCGAGAACCATGCAGTGCGGTTACGATGAATACATTTCCAACAATAATGAATCTTCAAACTAAGCTTGATAGCACATAGCCAAAAGGACATTCTGTTTTGATAATGTGATTTATGATACTGAGCATTTTGGATTGAAACCCGGGCAGAAGCATGACAATGTGTACCTATAGGAAGATCCTGGAAAAAAAAAAAAATCCAGTACTGCCTAGAAATCTCTGTCGAAAGTTCTACTGAAAATCTCATCAAGCACAGATAGGTATATGACAAATTATTTCCTTGTGTAAAGATGTCCTTGCCACATTCTTGAACTGAATCCTTGTGGGATGGAAGAAAAATTCCCAAATAATTTTCAATGAAGTGTGCCTTATCACTAAAAGGCAATTAAATGCTTTCAAAATTTCACATTCACAGAATGATCTCAACAATCTCACTACTTTGCAATGCTGTTTCTAAAAGAGAACATTTATAGTTTGGGAAAATAGCACAAAAATGAAAACTGCTGGAATTGTTTTGGTTGCTGAAAATACACTTGGCCTCATGGCTGTGGTGCTGAAGAAAGGAAAGAGCTTTGGCTCTGAGCTCAGGCAGACCCTGAGTTTGAACCCCAGCTCCTTCATTTACTGTGTCCTTAATAGGCAATTAGCTTCCTTTATACTCTCCATATTTCCCTGTAAAAATGAGGTCAGTAATATCTACCTCTGAATAGAACAAGCAGAGAATAAGGGGCAGAGCTTGGCTCTACTGGATCTTATTATTATAATAGCTGTCATTTGCTGGCCTACTATGTGTCTGGCACAGTCAAGTGCTTATGAACACATATTATCTTAACAACAATGTGTGGTTGATACTTAGGGTAACCAATTTGGCCCAGTTTTCCTGGGACTGTCCGATCTTACAAATAAAAGTCCTGTGTCCCAGAAATCCTCTCTGTTTGGGACAAATGAAGATGGTTGGTCACTCTATCAATATTATGGTCTCCTCTTACAGGTGTGGAAACTGAGACTCAGAGAGTATGTGCAAATTGTTCAATATCCCACAGCTGGGAAAGAGTAGGCCTGGTATTCAAACCCAGGCTTGAGTAACTCCAAAACCTGTACTCATTCTGCAGCCCTCAACCCTGCTCAGTAAATGTTGCTTTCCTTGCCATATTCCTAGAACATTCTGGACTTAACGGATATTTTTAGATCAGGTCACATTTTTTCAAATGTTTCAAACTAAATTATAAATTTAGTTATAATTTCAGGACTGCATGCATGCATGTGTGTGTTTGTGTGGGTCTCAGAGTGGAGGATTGCTCTCCAAGTGGCAGTGATAATGAAAATGATAGTTTAAAAGCCTAACATTTATTTCAAAGAACATTCTATCTGTTGTCCATCCATTCATTTTGTCCATTCACTCATTTATTTATCCATCTGTTCAACGGGTTTATAGTGAAGTCTTACTGTGTGCCAGATACTGGGGCAGATACAAAGAAGATTAAGATGCTGGCCTGGAGATGCTCAATGTCATGGAATTTAAAGAACGGGTTGTAAAATACTGTGACACTATGAGGCAAGCCCTCCATCATTCCCACCTCCCCTTGCACACTCAAGCCATGCAGATCTTCTCTACTGAAGTTCCAAGCTTATTCCTGATACTAGGTTTTTTGCATTAGCTCTTACTTCTGCCCAGAAGATTCTTTCTCCTAATCTTGGTCATTCAGATCTAGGATGAAAAGTGACCTCTTCAGAAAGAGTTTCCTTGACCACCTCCAGCTAAACTGGCTACCAAGAAATTCTCTATTAGATTGCCCTGTTTGGTGATCTTCATAGGGTTTATTTATCACTATTTGATATTCATCTTCATTGATCATTTACTTGCTTTTCACCTGCTTTTGCCAACAGAGAGAATGTAAATTCCAGGAAGGAGAGGTAACTTGTTTATTTTATTGTTTGTTTTATTTTCCCAGAACTTAAAACAATGCTAGGCACCCAGAAACAGTCAGTAAGTGTTTTTTGAATGAACAAAATGAATGAATTAGCAAGTATTTTGGATGCTGGAAGGGGCAGCCCACTCAACATGAATGAGAAGAGGTATGAGGGGAACTTTGCTTGAAAGGATATCTTAATTTAGCCTTACCCTTTTATCCCCCCTGCTTTAAAAGGTAGTATGTTCTCAGTTAAAAAAAAAAGAAAGAAAGAAAGAAAAGAAAAAGGTAAAGAAATCACAAGCAACAACAAAAAGGCCCAACTTGGCATAACACTATAATACTTTATTGTATATTGTCTCCTAGTTCTCTTTACATTTGTATTCACAGATAATTTTGGAACAAAAACAAATCACTTTTTTCACAGTTCTATACTTTTTGTGGGAGGTAAGTATTTTCTTACATTTTCATTTTAAAGATAGCTTTGTTTTCATCATAATGGCTGTACTGGGATTATCTAGCCAAATCTACATTGTTGGAACTTTGGATATTCCCATTTTGCCATTGTGGACAATATTGGACTGAACAGGCTTGAAGAGAGATTGTCTTTGCATGGATTCATGTGATAGCTTAAATTAGAAACAAAAGGACTTTGAGTTCTAGATCCATCAGTTTCTTTTTTTTTCCTAAAGGTTTTATTTATTTATTTGAGAGAGAGAGAATGAGAGACAGAGAGCATGAGAGGGAGGAGGGTCAGAGGGAGAAGCAGACTCCCCGCCGAGCAGGGAGCCCGATGCGGGACTCGATCCTGGGACTTCAGGATCATGACCTGAGCCGAAGGCAGTTGCTTAACCAACTGAGCCACCCAGGCGCCCCCCATCAGTTTCTTTTAACTGTTTAAAATTTTTTAAGTTTCCTCATATGTAAAATGGGGAGGAGTGCTTACTTCACAGGGCCATTGGGCAAATTAAATGCTGCTAATGAAGGTAATGTGCTCAGCACAAATAAGTGGGCAATTAATGTTAGCTGTCCTTAATAACATCCTTTGATTAAACTCTAGAAATCAAATTCGCTTTCCAATTTATCTTAAGGGACAAATAGTAACTTGCTAAATATATGGGTCGGGCAGGAGGCTGTAGGTAGGGGAAGTGAAGTTGGGGATAAGGTTTTTTGTTTTTGTTTTGTTTTTTTTTTTAAACTATGGAAGAACTCTAGACCCACTGCATCACCCAGAAACTTTAACATAAAAGTTATATTAACTTTGACCCTCACACTGCCCCGATAGCAGTCCTGTTCACTGCTGGGCTCTGCATTGCCTCTGGAAATATGCTTTTCTAGGGACATAGTAAGAGTAGGTTGATCAAGATAATGCTGGTGGTTTAAGCTGGGTAATTGGGAGGATGGAGAGCAATTTGAAGCCAGGGAGGCAAGTTTTGCTTGGCCCACATTCAATTTTTAATACATAGATGTGTCTAGCAGGTTGTCCAGAAAAACATATCAGGGCTTGAGATGTTGGCTTGAGTAAACAGTGTGGAGACTATCCGAGGCCTTGGCAGTAGAGATCACCTAACTCAGAACTATCTTTTGTTTCCCTTCTGATAAGAAATTGTAAGCTCATCTAAAAATATCTGCTTTGCTTTCAATAGATGCTGTCGCTTAGTGCCTGATTTAATTTGTAAATTTTAATTTTATTTATATTTCCTTTTTTATATGGAAGTATAATTAACATATAGTGTTATATTAGTTTCAGGTGTACAATATAATGAGACAGCAATTCTATACATTACTCAGTGCTCATCACGAGAAGTGTACTCTTACTCCCCTCTGTCTATTTCACCCACTCCCACTGAAAACCACCAGTTTGTTCTCTAGTTTCTTTTGTTTCTCTTTTTTTCTTTGTTGAGTCTGGTTTCTTTTGCTTGTCTTTTTTTCTTTGTTTTGTTTCTTAAATTCCCCATATGAGTGAAACCATATGGCATTTGTCTTTCTCTGTCTGACTTATTTCACTTACCATTATACCCTCTAGATCCATCCATTATTTATATTTTCAGTAAGCAACTCGTAAGCACATAAGTAATGGCAGTCACACACTGATAAAATCATATTTATTTAGTGATGTCTGACAAATAGAGAAAGTAAAAGGAATATTTAAAAAAATGTATAACTTATATATAAATACTTTAAAAGAGAAAAGCTGAACACACATGGTAACATTAAAGGAATGTAATCATTTAAGTTTGCAGCCTATCTTATAGCCTGACAAATTAGATACACATATGTATACACATATATCTTGTTTGTGAGTTTGCATAATTAGGGCCCAAGGATAAGTTTTGGGCATGTCTACAATAATTCTGAACTTCCATAAAATTTGTGGTATTTTACCACCACAGTCTTGTTGATTTTATTCTTCTTTCTCAAAATCTATGACCAGCACACTTGAAAGTCATCAAAGGTTGTAATCTGGTGCTTTGGGCCCCAGTTTACTCATCAGTAAGATGAAAAAAGTCTCGGCTGATATGTTCTGCTTCTTCTGAACGAAAAAGTAGTGAGCCCCAGTAGCCTCCAGCATATAGAAATGTATGAAGGCTGAGAGGCCAGGTCATCTCTGTATTCGCGGGAGTTTTCTGTTTATCTCCTTTCTTTGGAAGGGAGTCAACTTGTCTGCAACAGAGCAAGTTTATCACACCAGTCCACTTAACTAACAACATTCCATTCCTGTAGATACAGCTTGTTTCCTAGTGTGCAACGCAACAGAAGACTAATAGTCTCTGGATTTCACACTGAAGAGCTACACATTTCCTCAGATCTTGAATTTGGAAGTTTAGGGTTGAGCCACCCAAAAGGAGAGTTCAACAGAGACCCCTCAAGTCAAACCTCAATATATGGCAAAATATTTGTATGACATGTTCTGTATGATATTGAACTTCACTGTGACATTCAGGACAGTGACATTTTCTTGATATTGCACTAGTGTATAACAAAATAAGAAGAGTGTAATGTGATAGTCTACATAGTAAAACATGTATCTGATTTCTTAAATTTATACAAATTTTCATTTGTAGTCAATATCACAGAAGAGTAAATCATCCCTAAGTACTATCCTGAGCTCACCTTGATTTCAAGTTTACAGTTAATCGTATCTTTCATTTAAAAAAAAAAAAGACAGATATAACTGACCTCATATGACCACAGAAAATACATAGGACTCAGGGGTAAAATAATAATTCTTCTTAATTTTTCTTATATTCATTTGATGTTGGGTAGCTACATTTGCCTCTGTAGGATTACATGTTACATTTCCCCTCTGCTGGTGTTTGGCTTTAACTCTTGGAGGAAGGCCTCATGGTTATGAGGACAGTTGCTGTGACAGGTGCAGGTCCCAATGACCATCACTGGTTTCTTGATGATCTGCCCTGGGGAGCACTGGAACTCCACCTGGATGGTTTTGGTGTTGTGGGGGGTACAGCATCGGCCATCACTACAGACGCCACAGAACCTGGGCTTGTAGGTGTGCAGGCTGGTGCAGTTCTTGAACTGCAGGTGGATGGCTTTGAGTGACTTCGTGGTGCGGAGACACTTCTTTCCTTTCTAAGAAAGAAGAAAGGAGAGATTCGTGGAATGGCTACCATTCCTCTGAGGGACCATTAGGGATATGGAATAAATTGCTAGCTGCCTACCCCCTATCCATTGTTCTTTCTTCTTTGCTAACATGACATTATAGTGTTTGGGCAATTTGGTCAGCTACTAGTATTTGCTTCCCCAGAATATCTGGGAGCTTGGGATGGCTTTGTGATCAAGTTCTGGCCAATGATACATAGGCCAAGGGATCCTGGGAAGCCCTTTGCCCTTCAGATAGGCACAGTTCTTTATTGCTTCCTGCATTCATTGTCTTCCTGCCTAGAATGTGGAAACCATGCCTAATGGTACACAACCATCTTTTGACCTCGTGGCGATAAGCATGAGGGTGAACGTGTATATAAATAAAGCTATTTTTTCAAGGCACTGGAACAGACTTTGATGTTGTTTTAGTTTATGCATTCTTAGGCATTATAAAAAGAAAGGGAATATACCTGGCAGCGTTGCATACCTCCTAATGCTTCAAACACTTTTCAGACATTAATTCACTTAACATTAACAACATTCACTCCTACTAGGATCAATTATTCATGTAAGGAACAACTGTGCAAGCTTCACAGATGAGTAAATAGAGTCTCAAAGGCCTAAAGTCTCCAGAAACATCTAGTGATTGAGTGTCTGACACAAGCCCATGTCTTCTATTATACCCTTAGGAACATCTAAAACAATAGGATTTAAGGTTATTTTCCATGAAAGTGGGGTAAGTGGAGAATTTATTCAATATGCCATTAGTAATGGTTGATGAGGAACCTTCATATTGATAATTCAGCACAACACTGACTCTATGTTTATTTCTCACTTAGATTTCTTCACCTACTAATTTGCCATAATTCTCTTCTGCTTTTCACTTTCCTAGGCACAGCCCACAGCTGTGGAGTGATGAGGCTTGGGATTCTCTTAAATCAGTGGCTCTCAAACTTTACATCAGAATCTTCTAGAAGGTCTGCTAAAACACAGATTGTTGGGCCTTACACCCAGAGTTTCTGATGCAGTAGGTTTGATGTGGGCCCCAAACATTTACATTTCTAACAGGTTCTTAGATGATGCTGCTGGTCTGGGGAGCCACACATAGAGAAGCACTGGCTCATATTTAAGCATCTTTTGGTGTTAGGAAATAATGATTATTATGCTAGTATTTCCCCAGATTCCAAATAAATTTTGGAACCTTTATGAAATGTATATATCTTAAATATAATATCTCCCAATATAAAACTGGGTGCAAGTTACACAAACAAATATAAAAATTTTGGCAAAAGAAACAATAGAAAAAGCAAAGTTTTGGAGGCATGACATGGAAAAGCCTTATTTAATAAAGAAGTGTGTCCTTGACAATATTAAAGGCCTCCTTTTTCTTCCTTTTTCATATTTAATGAGTAGCCTATATTCTTGCCAATGTCCTCAAAGAGGTACAAGGTCAGCAACATCTGTGTGTGTGTGTGTGTGTGTGTGAGAGAGAGAGAGAGAGAGAGAGAGAGAGAAGCAGAGAAAGACAGACAGGAGACAGGAACAGAGACACAGGGAGAGAGAAACAGAGAGAGGCAGCTTTGTGGGTGAACCTACATAACTGTGCCACATGCATGTTGGAATTCCCCTAAGTGTGGGGAGGTGCAGCTTCTAGCATATAATTTTAGGGATGTTTCTATGTGTTCTTTCAAAATTGGTGGAAGAAACATAAATTAGGATGGACCCCCAAAAGTCATATAGCCATGTAGCCATATAACTAATACGACTGTTGGAGACTTATTCTAGCAATAAATAGAAATGATGCCTAATGCTAACAAAGTCATCTCTGCCCAGCCACTTTGTAAATTCATTCTATTTAATCCTCATGACAACTTTGAGGTAGGTACTGTCAATGGCCTCATTATATGGGGGAAGGAATTGAGGCTTAGAGGTTAAGAAAATTCATCCAGATCCCACAGCCAGTTCGTGTGGTAAGCCAGGATTTAGGTTGTCCGGCTCCAGAGTCGCACCCTTAAGCATTAGGTGATATTGCCTCGGTGTAGAGATATGTAAATCTTTCATTGTTAAGACACTGTTTTGGGGCACCTGGGTGGCTCAGTTGGTTAAGCGACTGCCTTCGGCTCAGGTCATGATCCTGGAGTCCCTGGATCGAGTCCCGCATCGGGCTCCCTGCTCGGCAGGGAGTCTGCTCCTCCCTCTGACCCTCCCCCCTCTCATGTGCTCTCTCTCTCTCATTCTCTCTGTCTCAAATAAATAAATAAAATCTGGGCTCCTGGGTGGCTCAGATGGTTAAGCGTCTGCCTTCGGCTCAGGTTATGATCCCAGGGTCCTGGGATCGAGTCCCGCATCGGGCTCCCTGCTCCTTGGGAGCCTGCTTCTCCCTCTGCTTCTCTCTCTCTCTCTCTCTCTGTCTTTCATGAATAAATAAATAAAATCTTTAAAAATAATTAAATAAATAAATAAATAAATAAATAAAATCTTAAAAAAAAAAGACACTATTTTGGCCTTAGGTTTGTACAAATTTCCATATAATGGTTCAATTTGAGTATTGCATTTATCTGATCTAGGGCTCTGGTAACAAGGCCTGTGATGTCATCAGGAACCAATCAGAGCTTCTGATCCACATGCCTTATAGTCAGTGTTAACACACTGAGTTGATTCATTTCCAGCAAAAAAGGGAAAGAAATGTGCTATTTTATTTGGCACATATCGCCTTATGCTGGCAAATGTACTATTTCCACTAGACTTTTTAAAATACTGAAAATAATTCCCAGACATCCATTCATTTATTTATCAACAATTGTTTATCAAGCACACAATATGGGCCAGGTAGGATGTTGGGGACTGAGGGTTCAGTGAGGAAGATACAATTTCTATCCCGTGCTTCCTACAGATCGAGCCTAAGGGGTGAAAAAACTGAGGTCAGAAGTGACCACTTTAAAATCAGCTGTGCTTGGCAACTGAGCAGCCCGTTTTTTTCCAGGAATGGAATGAGATTTGCCAGACCGTCTCAACTGGGGACACTATTATAGTTGGCCGGCTCCTCCCTCTACCTGTGGACCTGCTGTGAGTTGCTTGGGATATTTCAGTACATGAAAGAGAAAAAAAAAGAAGGTAAACTCCCTCATTGCAGGAAGCTCTCTGCCTTTTCTCTGGGGTTCACTCCCCGCTAGAGCTGACCTCTGAGTCAACTAGTATCACGGTGACTTTCTAGAACCCAGACGCCCATGAGGCAAAGCTACCTTGCTCTGGGATGGGAGGCTGTCCTCAGGCTCCTACCTTATCTGCTGGTTGCTTGTGTTCTTGTTCACAGGGCCGCACCATGCAGAGGCGAGTCTGCTTCACCATTTCACACTGTGGATTCCTGTTGGTGACCCGAGTGGAAAAACCCATGCCACAGCTCTTGGAACATGCGCTCCACTCTGTGGTCTGTTCAATGCAGTTGCTGCTGGAGTCAGAGACCGCAACTCCTAGTGTGGCTTCTGTCCTGTAGGCTATGGGATGGACCATTAAAGGCGGCCACATTGGGTAAAACATGGGGATTGCCGAATGATCCTTTCAACCATCATTGGAAAGAGGGTCTCATTCAATTCTGTACCTACTAAACTCAGGTGCTCTCAGAACTGGATCTCTGTATTTATAAACCCTAAAGAGGAGGCACAATGCCGGAACATTCTAGGCCTTCAAGAAAGATTTGTGGAATGACTGTCCAACTTGTCCTGAAGAAGCTTAGGAGAACTGGTCTTTAAGAAGCCTAGCAGTTTGAAGAATGTAGAACAGGTTAGCATCAACAACCATTCCATAAGCTGTAATGTTTTCAACATGTGATTTTATACAGAAAAAGGATCATGATGAAATTTTAATTGGATGAGTCATTAGAACCTACTGACTCAAAATAGTGACGAAAGCTATACTTTGTTCTAGGGAGGTAAAACCAGTTGCTTGGATTATTGGGATATAGACACTTGGACTTTGATTACAAAAAGTTCTGTCTCAACACTTCATATGTATGGCTTGGGGCGCTTCTACATGGCAGTTCTCCTATCTGCGAGGCATGGCTGATAATTTCTGACCTCAGAAAAGCTGGAAAGCTCTGTGTACGCCCGCATAAATAATCTGGCTGATTCATGGCTTCTAAAATATTCTCTACTGGCTCTTGAATTTTTTTCCAAAAAACCGTTTCCTTTAGAAGATAAAACACAAAGAAAAAGCAAAACAAAGATCCTTGACCCTTCCTACAGCATCTGGAAAGGCGGCATTTCTCTGTGACACCTGTCCAGGGAAAAGTAGCATTCTTCAGGAAGGCTGGTCTTGAGAGCACATGGGTAATATCCAGAATCTGGAAAAGACTGATTTTTTTATTTTTTATTTTTATCTCTGTGATGTTAATAAGGGTCAAGCGGGGGTGGACTAAAATATAAACAGTAGTCAGGCAGTAAGACAAAATCAGTCCCCCTGCTCAAAAGAACCACTGAATGCAGCAGGTTCTCTTTGGGAGAAACTGCATGCATACTTCAATACCTTGGCTTGGATCCACACACGTGACGTGTTTGTTCTTAGTGGGCAATCTGGAATCCACAACCGGATGGCCAGAAATGGAGGCCAGTTTCTTATGGCAAATCCCAAAGAGCACCGATGCTTCCTGCCTGCCTTTAACCTGTGTGGTGATCACGTTCAGGTATCTGGAGTTTCTTACCTGGAAGGGCAAGGCCTCCCAACTGCCCCTTCTCATCTGAGTCACAGATCCACTTTTCACAGCACTCCCCGGGCACTTCAACTTTTCTGGGAGCTGGGCAGTCGGGCTGGGGCAGGAGCAGGTCCTCTCCACAGCGGGGCACACAGCCGATCTGCCCATCTCTGCAGGCACACTGGTATTTGCAGCTTGGCTGGAAGGTCTCCCCGCTTTGGTAAATGACCCCATCAAACACACAGTTGTCGCCTTCTACCGCTAGAGCATTGGGGAAGCAAGGCAGAGGGAAGGGCAGAGAGAAAAATCAAGAACAGAGTGTCATGGAGAAGCTATACAAGCTACATGCAAATCCCACATCCCCCTTTTTCTCATTGAAGTGATCTGTTTCTTCTCTCTCTCTCTCTCTCTCTGGCAGAGAGATGTCCTCCTGGAGGCCTCCCAGAGCAAGAAGAAACCTTGAAGACCATCCAATCCTGCCATTTTATTTCACAAATGAGGCAGGGGGAGCGCCACTAAGAAGTGACTCTCCCACAGCTGTTGTTCCCATGATAAAGTCATTTTGCTAGAACCTCCTTAGATTCTCCTACTCCAACAGCTTAGAAAAAAAAAAGGTACACTTCGTATTCTCCCAATAGGTTAACTGGTCAAATAGGGAAGGGTGCTAGGATTCCTTGGCATTCCAGCACAATAAATAATCAGTAACTTAGAGAAGAAAGTAAAAGGCTATTCGAAGCCCTCTTATCCGGGGAGTCCGGGGCAGCCTCCGACTCAATGGTGCACCGCGGTGGGAAAATGATCCCCCAATCAGTTTCACCAGCCTGAATTGGTTGGTTGTCTGCATTTTATTTTATTCACAGCCCAGACTGGGATTACATAGTCGTCCAGGAGACCAAAGGCTGCTTTAGCTCATTACAGGTGTGAAAACAAACCTGCTGGGCGGCAGGTTGGGGGGGTGGAGGGGGGAACTGTGAGCTTGTAAGCCCAAGATTCCAGCACCCCCAAGCACCCCCTTGGAAATGTCCAAAGGAAATGATTTCACTGGCCCTAAACTCTGCTCTGTTCCCCGGCTAGGCTATCCAGATCCCACTGTAAGGAGGCAGGTGATGAATGTGCTTCTCACCTTTGCGGGCAGGTTTCCTCTCGGCTTCTAGCGCTCCCCAAAGCTGCCAGCACCCCCCCCCCCCACCCCCGACCATGCCTGGCGCACAGTAAGCGCTCCACAAACATCACCTGCTGTATCATCCCAATTATTATTTGCACGTTCCCCTCAGGGAAGGGGAGAAGGCGAGGAAAGGGGCAGCAGGCGGGAGCGGAGGGCGGGCGGCGCGGGGGGCCGGGTTACCCATGCAGATGCCCGTTCCCGCGCTGGGGTCGGCTCTGCGGTCGCAGAAGAGGCCGCGGCTCTCCTCGCACGGCTCCAGCGGGGAGCAGGTCTCGCCGCGCTGGCGGGCGCACACCACACAGCACGAGCAGTCGTCCAGCACGGCTCGCACCCCGGGGGCGCAGCTTGGCGGCGTCTTGGGACACCGGGCCGGACACTGGGCGGGGCAGCGCGGGGTGGCCGCGACCTGGAGCGGGCGGGACAAGAAGGAGAAAGCTCTCAGCAGGGACTGTCGAAGGCGGGGTGACCCGGGCCGCCGAGCAGGGGCCGCCCTGGGGGGCACAGTAAGCAGAGGCACCCGACGGGAGCGCCGCTCACCTGTCCCAGGACGTGGAGCAGCAGGAAGGCCAGGCCAATGCACCGCTTGGGCAGACTCTGCGCCCTCTGCATGGTCAGGCTTTTCCCTCCCGCTTGGACGAAACAAGACTGGGCGCTCCAGATCCGCCCCGCTCGCCCCGCTCGCCCCGCAGCAGGTCGGGCGCCCGCCTCGGTTCCCCGGCGGCACCGGCTCAGGTTTTATAGCGCGCTCGCGGGACGCGCTCAAGCCGGTTGGCTGCAGGGCAGGGGGGAGGGCGGGGAGGGTGGGGGGACCGGCTGGGTGGGGAATGGAACGAACCCGGGGTTGCCGTGGCAATTGGCCGTGGGCGCCGCTCTCCTTAGGGCGCGGCCCTGGGGCCGGCGTGTGCCTGTGTGTGGCGACTGGCTTTTCCCGGAGCGCCGGGAGGGGCAGGGTGGAGTCGCGCGGCCGGGACCCAGGGCTCGCTCGAGCGCGTGGGAAGGAAACGCCCGTTTCCTCCTGGAAGCTGCTTTGCCTTCCCCCAGGCCCGGGACGCCGCTGCGCGCTGGCCGTTCCAAGCTGGGCCGCAAACCGGGGGCTCTCCTCCAGGGGTGCCTGCAGTTCGGGGCCATCTGCGGGGGGTTGGCGAGCGGCCCAGGGCTTGAGTCATAAAGGAAGCACATGCAAGTTTGTCACCGTTTAGGGCACTCTTTGAATGTGTTGAGGGGAGGGGAGAGGAGGGAGGGAGGGAAGCAGAGAGAAGAAAGAAAGTGGAGGGAAAAAGCAAGAAAAGAGAAGACAGAAGCAAAGCCAAAAAAAAAAAAAAAAAAAAGCAAAGCAAAGCATCGCTTTAGGATGAGGGATGCTATTGGCCAAATGGCAAAAAATTCCTTTGAGGCTAATCATTCCAAGTCCCCACTGATTCTTAACCCCCCTCCCCTTCCGATTCCGCAGGCTTGGAAGAAATAAAATTAAAACATAATAAAATAAAAAACGTAAGAGCCTGAGGTAAAATACAAGCTTTTTTCCGAAACACCTGTTGTATCATGCCTAGGGTAAATCAGCACATGTCAAAATCCAAGAGCCTTCGAGAGTTGGTGAGGAAGGCTCAGCTCAGCCACTGTCCAGACCTCAGTGAATTAGGTAAGGCGCGAGGACGTGTTTGCTTTACTTGGCTGACCCAGCCAGCAAATCAAATCTTTCTCTCATTTGGCATCCACGTTTAAAACATGGCTGCTTTGAAGCACTTGTCATCTCTCATGAGAATGAGAGCAGTTTTACTGCTCAAGGTGATATTGCCTGATGGATTAGAAGAAAGTTTCTCCCCCGCTTCAACTTTGCCACTGCCTCTGGGATGGCTATGCCCAGCAACTCTGAGGATAGCCACATTGGAAAGACACTTTACAAGAAAAATTATGCAGTCTTGTGATGTAACTCTAGACTTGAAAAAGAAACAAATTTCCTCTACATCGTCCATCTCCAGCATGAAGGAAAGCAAAGGCAGCTTGTGGAAGGGGTCAGGCGTGTTCCTCATGCTGAAGTCATCCCAAGCCCCTTCAGGAGAGTTCTCTGAGCACCTTGAAACTGCTATTACCTATTCCCAAGCCGGCGATAATTCTGCTTTCTTTGAGGTAAACCAGACTCAGCAGTACTCAAAGCTTGACAAGAAGTTGAACCGTTAATCTGTGCCACGTCTAGGACACTCCTCCACTCTTCAAGTTGACAAGCTTCATGGGTCATCAGGCCAAGTGATTCTTCTACTCGGCTGCACATCAGAATCAACCAGGGTGTATTTTTTTAGAAATACAGATTCTTTGGCCCCACCCTTGGCCTACTCAGTTGGATTCTCTGGTGAGGGCTCTTGGTAGACAGCATTTTTTTTTTTTAAAGATTTTATTTATTTATTTGAGACAGAGAGAATGAGAGAGAGAGAGAGAGCACATGAGAGGGGGGAGGGTCAGAGGCAGAAGCAGGCTCCCTGCCGAGCAGGGAGCCCGATGCAGGACTCGATCCAGGGACTCCAGGATCATGACCTGAGCTGAAGGCAGTCGCTTAACCAACTGAGCCACCCAGGCGCCCTGACAGCATTTTATTATATTTTGAAATGGGAGCTGGCTTTGGGAAACCTATAGTTCCAGAACAACTGGAAGCATAGCTAATGGGGAAGCAAGAATCTTGGCCAGATTTTCAAAGTATGAACAGCCAGAATAAGGAGAAACCAGCAGCATTGAGGCTGGGCTGACTCTTCTTGGGAAGGGGGAAGATGAGAGGAGAAATGTGAATTCAAGATAAGGAAGAAAATGTCAAGAAGTCACAGCTACCGTGAGCCTCTTGACTGCAAGCGATAGAAACCAAGCTGGAACTAGCCTCAGCAAGAGGACTTCTGTTGAGATGCTGTGGTATTTCACAGACAACTAATGGGAAAGGTGCTAATGGGCCTCAGAGGCCACTAGGATCAGGGCCTTGGAGCTACCAAGACTCCATCTCCCCATCTGTTTTCATTGCTCTTCTGGGTGTCAGTTTTATTCTGTCTCACCAGAGACCAGCTTCTCCCATATAAGAAGCGTCAACTTTAAGGTCTCCCTAACCTCTTACATTGTGACCTTATCACTGCAGAAGGAATTTGGAAAGTTCCAGGAGAAGAGCTGGATTGAGGGAGACAAGAAAGATGAGGAATGGGGATTAGCTAACACCACATAGTTGGAATGGGGTGGAAGAAGAGTTCCCTAGGAAAGAAGGGGTGATTCTTTAAGAAGAAAACCTGTGTGACAGGCCAAACAGTACATATCCACTCTACCATCTGCTGTAAATGCTCCTGGGTAAGGAGCTCCACATTAAAACAATTGGAAATTGAAAGTGAAGCCATCTGATGGTAATCAGGTCATGTTTGCTGCACTAGGACATCTTCTGTCAAATCCTCCATGCTGAGGTAGATTTTGTCTTCTCCATTGGCCTGGCACTGGTGGTGCTTTTCCCATCTATCTCTGAACTCACTGAATAACAATGATGTGACTCTGTGTGTGCTTGTCTCCCTCTCCTGACCAGGAACGCTTGAGAACAGTGAGCACGTCATAGTTTCCATAACACTCCCAGGGATGGACAAGTGGTCAGTTGTTCTTGGACCTTTTGAGATACTGCAAACCTTACTTTAAGTTTTGTCCCTTGTTACTGGTTGAGGTAAGAAAGAACTGGAGGTGTTGTTCCTCAGCCGCAGCTATCCGCCATCACCATCTGCTTCTGACATGCACCTTCTCTCAGTCTTTCTTGGTGCTATGAGTCGAAAGGGTGGCATACAGGCTGGCGACCTCCTCCTGTTGGAAATAAACCCTGTGTCAGTGGAGATGTCTGAGGAAGTCAGGGGACATCACATTAGAAATTCTTCATGAGTTGCTGGTCTTGGCTGCCCACCAAGATGTCAGCTCCACTTGGTTATGAGGTGCAAGTACTTTGATGGATTCACCTCTTCATTTCATTTCATTTCATTTCATTTCTTTCTCTCCTCCTTTTCCCTTACCCCAGATGTGACACCAGAGACGCATTGCTCCTTCTCTATCTCAGATAGGCTGTTAATTGATTTATATACATACATTTTAAAGATTTTATTTATTTTGAGAGAGAGAGAAAGCAGGGGAGGGGTGGAGGGAGAGAGAGAATCTTAAGCATTCTCCATCCTGAGTGTGGAGCCCCATGTGGGCTCGATCTCATGACCCTGAGATCATGACCTGAGCTGAAATCAAGAGTTGGACACTTAACCAACTGAGACATCAAGGCGCCCCTGATTTATATTCTTATTACTCATTAGTCAATACTCCTACCCAGAGTACATTAGAGAACTTACATTTTATAAAGGTAAAATTTTATAAAAGTTTCCATTGTTTTATTTTTTTCAGTTTTAAAAAAGATTTTAAAAATATACTGGCACTGATTTCTGTAGCAGGCAAGAGAAATATAAAGCACCCCATATTAAACATATTAACCCCATATTAAAAATGACACAAAGAAAAAGCAGTGACTATGATGTTATCACCTCCAGGACAACTCTATCCCTCTTCCCTCCTCAATGATTACATTCTCCATAAACTCATAAACATCGATTGTGTCTTCATTCAGTCATTATTCAGTGAAGCCACATGTACTTAGCTCTGGGAATATGCCTCATAAATCTACCTCACAGCCCTTTAATGATTCAGTTGTTTTTTTCTAAATTTCCTTCATATGTCCCTTTCCTGGGGCCCCAGGGAATTGGTAGAACACAAGGTAATTCCCATTATATGTTATGCTGGCCAGCTCTACAAGGTGTACAATTCTATGGCTAATATCAATCACACCCTCTTGCTTCTCTGACAGATCTCTTCTGTTCTTACTTTTCTGGAAACGATGAGAGACAGAGAAGAAGCAGTGACAGGAGGTGAAATATTAAATATATAATGTTTAGTGTTATCCCCTTTGGAAACATCTTCCTATCACCCACATTTTTAAAATTTATTTTTTAGTGCATTTCTTACAGAAAACAAAAATCCAGAAGATTAAGTAAAAAGAAATTCAAGCTAGAAATTGACTAGAAATGTGAGAAATAAGTTATTTTCTCCCACTGCTAAATGACCTCCTTATAGGGAAATGAGCTCTTTGAAACTGAAATAATTTTTTAAAAAGTTTTTGAAATGGGGGGTGCCTAAGTGGTTCAGTTGGTTAAGCATCCAACTCTTGATCTCAGCTTAGGTCTTGATCTTAGGGTTGTGAGTTCAAGTCCTACATTGGGCTCCAAGCTGGGTGGAGAGCCTACTTAAGGAAAAAAAAAAAAAAAGGTTTTGAACTGGAATGGAGTCTCTCAAGCTTTAAGTACATGCCACACTCCTAGCCCCCAGGCACCAGCATTACCCATGCCCACTACCAGCTGAGGAAAATGGCCCTGAGCAGTTCTTTCTATGTGACTTCTCTACGGCTTGTAACAGTCGGGTAGGTATAACCAGTTATGCTTCACGGACCAGAATCCTCTGGACCAGGCATTTGTGTCAGAGACGAAGGCACATGCATATGGATTGGACATCAGGTTAGTCAATAGCCTCTCAGGAGTGCTCCATATTGGATGACAGTGGACCCAACTCATAAATGCTGGTGGCCAGGTAAGCACAGAGAAGGGAAATAATATAACTTGAATATAGGCAAAGTTCTAAAAAACTTTAAATGATTGTTTCTGAAGAAAGAAAGATTCTTTTTTGGGCAAGTCCCTATTCCCACATA